TAAAATTACTTCTCCACAAGAAAGAAAAGTCTTTATTGGATAAATACCACAGATTTAAGTCTTTCCTCGATTTGCACTTAAATTTCTGATCTTTTTTGAGTTGAAGAAAACTTTCTGTCCACGAAGCAAGCACTGCACTGGGCAGCCAGGCTAGCTGGAAATTTCTGCTGCTGCTTCTTCAGCTTCCCCATAGGGATAAAAGACAAGAGGACGACTCAGGAGCCCCGTGAAGAGATAAACTCTCTATTTGCATTCCAGCAGGGATTTTTCAGAGCTTTGCAAAAACACAAGTCAACTTATGAGACAAAAAATCACTAAAGGAGTCGGCCTGTTACTAAGGAGACTCACTGCATAGCAGCCTGGATATTCACAGGTTTAAGAAAAAGTTAAAAAGCCTCTGAAGAAAAAGCAAAACAAAAGGGAACAATAAAATCAAAAGGCACTGGGCCAGCTTGGAAACTCTCTTGGTTAATTTTCTCTCATGATCAGCCCTTAAGAACATCCTGGTTAAAAGAAGAGTGCAGAAGGAGCTGTGCCACCCCTCAGCCTGGGTGGCAGTTACCTGAGCCCAGCCTGTTCTTGTACAGAATGCCACTGATATTCCGGCACCGCACCGGGAGCTCGTTCTCGTACACAGATGGGTCCCAGTTGTACTTGGTTCCACTCTTCCCCTGGACAGCTGTCAAAGGGGTAGGAGGAGACTGTGGTCCTTGGAGAAAAGAGAGAAGAAAGGTGTCAGCAACCAAAAGGCAGAGTGGTGTTCCATCCCATGCTCGGCTGGCTGATATGCCAAGGGGTTGACTGGAGCAGCTAGAACCCCCCCCACAATGGAGCAGCACAAAAATCTCAGCCTGAACAAACTGAGAGGGGCTGATAATTAAGCAAAGAGGACCTGAGGAAACAGGATCTAACAGGGACTAAACGCTGAGATTGTGACCTGATCCTTACACCACCTGTAAACCATGGTGTAAGGAGCTGGCTGGAGATTTCTCCTCCCAGAGCCCATCGTGTAGGGAGTTTTAGAGCACTGAAGGTTTGCTGTGCCATCTCGTGGGCAGCCAGGAAACTGCCAGGCAGCCCTGAACAAAACCTCGGCGACAGAAACACTAAAGGATCAGCCTGAACGGACAGGAAAATGTGCTCCAGGAACCTTGGAAAGAACACGTGCAGAACTAAGAAAGTCAGATTTTTATTAACTATGTTAAAATGATCTGTGTGCCCTTGGGTGTGGGATGGCTGTAGAAAGCCCAGTAACAGGACAAGATTTTTCAAGCAGCTTCTTTGTTAGGGTTAGGGCAAAGAATGAGCAAATTAAACACATTCGTGACAGGAAAAAAAAATTAAAAAGAGCATTCTTTCATTCCCAAGAAATATACAAAATACTGTGTGAGGACGTGATATCTTAAAGGTCTTTTCCAACCTGAACAACTTTATGGTTTTAAGAGAGGGCAAACCATCCTTATAAAATTGCATAAGCATTTATTTTTAGATTCCAGAATGGCAAGTAGAGCGGAGAAGCAGCCATCCCTCTGGGAGAGTGACCCACCACAAGCAGACTGTCTAATACCTGGTGTGAGGGGTGCTGAAGGCCCCTTGATCCCGGTGGTTTCAACGATGCTGCCATCCGTGTGCACCACTATCAGAGTGGCTTTTTCAGGGTTCAAGCTGTCCCCAATTTGGAGGGCTGTTCTCCCAGACTACAGAAGAAATAAAGAGTTTAAATTGATTAAAATACTTCAACACAAATAGATTTCAGTAACCCACAGGTACCCCAAAACTCCAATCAGTATGGCAGTTATTAGGTTAATTTTTCAGTTTTCAGACAAGCAAATTCAAAGATTTCAGGTTCCAGGCCACCAGTTCTGTTACAGGATGAGTATGTGGGAGTAGAAAGGTAAAAAAGTTAGGAATAAAACACCTGTGTATCCCCCAGCTAATGAGTTTGTGGCTTAATACCTGGATACTGCAATGAAAACAAGTCCTTGACCTTACTACAGCTCTTCATTTACACTGAGAAACTTTTTCAAATGCCCTCAAGTGAAAGGACAGACTTACCAACACGTGTCCTGAAATTGAAGCTGCATTGGCCACAGATGTGGTGAAAACATTGTCTGCAGAGGCCCCCACGTTGGCTACTGTCACTGTGGTGACTTCTGGAATGTAAAATAGGGATAATTTAATGTTCTGCTACATGTAAAGAGCCTGATGAACACATTAGAAATTAATGTTATTTTTCATGGCACCTGTAAGCTGTTATGAACACAATCATTCTTATTTCTACTGATCTTTGGGTTCAACAGGCTTTAACCTCATTTAAGCCAGGACAGTCACTATCAGGATGTGATGAACCAAGGGAAAAATAGGAATTGCACCTGTATTAGGGATACTCCAAGCTGTGACGCTTTTATTTAATTAGGAGTGACTGGCAAACATCGGGATAAATTAAACAACAGAGTCTGCCTCTGTCATGTATTAATTCCCATGGTGCCATGGCCTGTGCACTTTGTCCAGTTAAGAACTGCCCAAACGTACAGCCAGCGTTTCTGTGGTGTGCAGAGCCCTGCTTGGCTCAATTCTCTGGGTTTCCACGTGGGGTGAGGGTGAAAGAACAACAGGCGCTCTGGCGGAGACATCGGGCGGGCGATGGGCTCTGGACTTCGTAGCACCGCAGCTCGACCGTGCTGCGTGACTGGGGCCGCTCGGTTATAGGGACACGGGGCCGTGGCTCAGGTGCACGGGCGGCTCCCGCTCTTTACTGAGTGTGAAGGGGCGGAGTGTGGGATTCGGTGAGGGGGTGGGAGCGCTCCCTGAGGGAGCTCGCTGTCCCAGCCCGAGCCTCGGGGCCGGAGCCCGGGCTGGGGAAGCCCCGGGCGGGCTGAGGGAGCGCTGCCCGCCCTGACCTGCGAAGGCAGCGGCGGCGGCGGCCTCGTCGGCGCTTGGCATTGGCGGGGCTCCCATCTCGATGTGCTCGGCGTCTGCCGCCATCACCGTTACAGCCTCCTCCTCCTCCTCGGGCTCCGCCTCCCCCTCCGCTGCCTGCGGCGGCTGCTGCTGCTGCCCGGGTCCCGCGGGCAAGCCGAGCTGTCCGGCGGCCGGGTCGCCGTCGCTGTGCTCCATGCGCGGGGCCGGGGGTGGCCGAGCCCGCCCCGCCACCCCCCCGGGCGCGCCTGAGGGGGGTCCTGCGGGCGGGGGGGCCGGCGAGCCGAGCGGCACCGAGCCTGCCCGAGCGCTGACGAGCGTGTTCGGGGCCTTCCGACCTATTTCCGATGAGGCCCGAAGCGGCCCGAGCCGCTCGGGCCCCGCGCGAAGGCGGCCGGCGCGCGCGCTCCCTGGCGGCTGGCCAATGGGGCGCGGCCGAGTTCGCGCGGCGCGGCCCGAAGCGGTACCTGACGGATCGGGTGAGACCCGAGCCCGCCCGAACGCGGCCGAGTCCCCGAGCCGTGCGGCCCGGCGAGGCGAAGAGTCCCGAGCGCGTTCGAGCCGTTTCCGATATCTGCCGAAGGCGGTAGCGAGGAACGCCGATGTGTGCCGAGTCCTCTCCGATCGCACCCGAGCTCCGCTCGCCGGCCCGAACGGAGACGCCCGAACGGGCAGCGCCCGAATCCGCCCGAAAGCGACCGAACCGGGCCGAACGCTCCGATCGCGCCCGAAGGCGGGTGGGCGGGGCGGGTGGCCCCGCGCGGGCTGCCGGGACGGCGGAGGAGCGGCGGGTGGGGCGGGGCGTCAAGATGGCGATGCCGAGCCGAGGTGAGCGGTGTCGCGATAGCAACACGACAGCGACATGACAGCCCTTTCCGGGGCACCGGGAAGGATGTTGCCCACCGTGCTAGAGGTGGCTTCTCGCGGGGGGACACGACTAGAGTGAGGCGGGGCTGAGGTCGAGCCCAGCCCCGTTGGCATATCGCGACAATCCCGACACGCTGAGGCAAATTGGGGCGGCGCCGTGAGCAGGGGCTTGGCGCATGTGCGGGCTGAGGAGCACCTTGATCCCGGGAAAGAGGCTTTCCTGAGGCCGAGACACCCCATGAAAATCCAGATCTTTGCTTCAATTTAGTAACTGCTGGGACTCAAAGGGCAAAAAAATTCATCCTTAGTGTCGTCAAAATTATTAATTTACAGATCCTTCACAGAGGTCAAAGTTTTCTCCCAAAAGTGTAAATTTCTGCCCTGGGTAGATAAAGGTGGCTTAGAAAATTCTTGCCGAACTCGTAAAAAAAAAAAAGTCCTAATCCCAAATCTGTGCAATGAGGTGCTCTGGGTGATGTTAACCATAGCTACTGCCTTTAATACAGTTTTATGTTAAAAATTAAACTATTTTGTTGGAAATGGGCCATGTTCCACCTCAAATCCCCATCCTCAGTGTTACTCACTCTAAAATCAGCACCAACCTGGATATATAAACACTGAAATGATATATATTTGGGCAGTTTAGCAATCCCTCTTGATTCAGAGTCGCTGTGCTGGGTGTGCTGTGGGATTCCAGGGTTTATCCCTGTGAAATGTCCCGGCCGCTCTGAGGGAGGCAGCACATCCTCAGGAACAGTGGCTGCCATCCCGGCCTGGAACAACTGCAGGAGGGCTCACTGCCCTCTCCTAGGAAAGGATTCAGGAAAGAAGAGCTCAAAGTTGGGGAACTGCCCTGAGGGAATTTCCTTGGAGTTCCCTGTGGGAATTCCATGACCGATTATCATACAATTCAGCATCAGTGGTGTAGCTGCAGTTTTGGATATTGAATGAACATGGAATCATGGAATGATTTGGGTTGGAAGAGACCTTGAAGCTCATTCAGTGCCACCCCCTGCCATAGCCAGGGACACTTTCACTATCCCGGGTTGCTCCAGCCTGTCCAGCCTGGCCTTGGACACTTCCAGGGATGGGGCAGCCTCAGCTTCCCTGGGAAAGCTGTGCCAGGGCCTCAGCATGCCTACAGGGAAGAATTTCTTCCCAATATCGAAGCCATTTCTCCTTGTCCTGTCACTCCTAAGTGATAGGACGAGTGTTGGGAGCCCCCAGTCCGTGTACAGAGAGCTGAGATCAGGTCCAGGAGACATTTCAGATCATGGACACATGAATCACCTAAAATCATGTGCTGTTCCCACTGTCTTCCCAAGCTGGATACCTTAATAAGCTGCCTGTAGTTAGGGAAATTAATTTGGGCCTAAATGTATAAGAGGACATTGACTTCAGGAATGAGGATGGTGGCATGGCAATGATGAGCTGTCCCTGAGGAGACATGAAATGGCTTTTCACAATTTTTACTCTTCCTAGAACAGAAATCTCAACTCCTCATGTGTCTGAGAGAGGCTGGGAATATTAATGAGGAACTCAAGAGGTGCTTTAGTAGGCCAGTGCCATCAAGTTGCACGGGAATTTTATGTGATTTTTGCAGAAAATTATGAGGAAAAAAGTGAAATGTGTTGGTTGGATCATTGGAAATCCTTGGTGTGATTTCTGTGGGCTATCAGAACACACTGAGGTTGGATGTGGAACGACTTTGTGAAGGGAACTGGTTTGGAGAGATGGTATTTAGAGGAACCCAGGAGCCCTGTGCTCTCCACAAACTTTCTCACAATTTACAAGCAAATGGATCCTGTATTCACCTTCTTCCTGCATAGTTAGAGGGGATGAAGTGTCATCTGCTAGGAAGGGACAGGATGAACAAGTTCTGCATAATGCCTGTGCACTCCTTCAGGCTTTGAAAGAGCCTAAAGTTCCTCACAGAAAGTGGCTTTTCCCAGTAGGGATTTTCCCCAAATTATTTGAGGCTCCATCTAGTTGAAAAGCTTATTTTTAGAACCTGATGTCCACGATCTGAAAAACCGTAAATGTTCCTGGGAGATGAAAAAAGAGATTCCTCACAGAATTTGGGTACCATGGTTAGAATGTTTCTGCATTTTGACTTATTTTTTTCCTCTTTATTTTCTCCTTCTCCATGGAAAGGAAGAACATCAGAGATTGTATCCTTTCTGTACCACTGCTCCCTCCGTGTGAGAATCCTGGAGAAGACTGCCTCAAGTGGATTCCTGCCTTCTGCCCAGTAATTCTGCACAGTGCTAGGTCTGTGCTCCTGAATTTTCTGTCAGTGTTATCCACAGGAAGCCCAACTGGGAACACATTGCTTCCAAGGGAAGATGTTTTGTGCAGGTTTAGCTAGGATTTGCCCCTGATGAGCTTCTGCTCCTGCAGAAACCCCTTTAGCCCCCCTGCAGTCATGACTTAACTCATTTTCTTAGGAAAGGAGGTTAAAAATTGGATTTATGAACTGTTGGATCCACTCCCCTGCATCGCAGTTCACAGACGGCTGACACAGCTGACAAGGGGTAGTAAAAGCAGCTCTTAGCAGTAACTTCCTCCTCTCTTATGGTAAGTCACCCCACCTTTACTCCTGCCAAGATCCAAGTAACCTCCTTGGGAGGAGACACCCTTGGCTGTAGAGATTTCCATGCTTAGAACCTATCTAGTAATTTTTTGCTCCACCTTCCTTCAACTGGAAAAACCCCAAAACCTGGTTCTGTGTTAATAAAATGAGCTGCTCTGGGAACTGGAATCCCTCCATGGTGTGTGGGTGGGTTTAGAAACGGGATGGGCAGTTCCTGTAAAAGATGCCTGGGATGAAATCCCTGCTTGGAGATATTCCTAGGATTTGAAAAGGGGTGGGGGAGAGAGGGGAGTGAATTAAGGCTGTTTCTTAGGAATTTGCATCTCAAAGCTGAGCTCAGACAGGTATGGAGCACAGTGTTTCCATGCTGTGGGCAGAAACAAGGCCTGGCTGCTGCACAGAGCCACCTTTCTCCAAACACAAGTTTAATGGAGTTTGCCAACTCTGTGTCAACTTCCTTGAGGCTGATTAAGAAGTGTAGAAGTAGTCTGGGGCAATGTACACATGCATCCCCCCACTTCCTCAGGCTAATGGATGCCCCACTACAGACCAAATAAGATTCCTTAAAAAAGGAACTAAAGCCAAGCCTGAAACAGCAAGCTTTTATCCCAGCCTGTGGTGTTCACAGCCTCTAGTTCCTTCCTGAACCCTCCCCACAGGCCAGGCATAGCTGGACCATTCAGTATAAAGAGGGAGTGCAGTGTATTTTGGGCTTTACTGGGAAATGGTGATTTTATGGAATAGATCCCACCTCATTGCTATGAGAAATCCTTAACAACAGTTCTCAGCTGTCATCGCTTCCCTTACAGATCCTGCTTTATGTAAATGGGATTTATTACATCTTCTACTTCTTGGCAACTCTTGCAATGATTATTTACAAAAGTAAGTTGCAGGTATTGTCCCCAGAGCAGGCTGTGCTGATGCACAGCTGGGTTTTGTCCTGCTGTGTTTTCCTGCTTTATTTACTCTGGTTTATTCTCCAGGTCAAGTTTTCAGTTATCCAGATGATCTTTTGGCTCCTGATCTTGCCGTGCTTTTTCTTATGGGCATTCTGGAAGTGCCTCGATTGTACTTGGGTAGGTCATGTTATCAGTGCAACTGGAATGTAATCTGTAAACATGAATCATTTGGAAATGGAGTCTGTCAGTTGAGCAGATATTTGGAGACCCCTACACCTTTCCTTTCACTCCTGGGGACACCTGCAAGCACCAACACCTTCCTTTCACTAAGACAGAAGGATGGGAAGGGCCTCCTGACCTTGTCCAGAGCTTGCTAAAACTTCTTCAAGTCCAGTTTTTAAAAAAATCCAAATCACTAGTAAAATCTGCTCAATATTCCCAAGACATTTATGCAGGGTGAGGCCCTTGAATCAATCTGAGTGGCTTCAGGGTTGGAGTTACTCCACTGCCTTAAAACTCTTTATGTATTTACTTGGAGCCTGATCCATGAATAAAGAAGTGGGTTTCAATTCTAATGTAGTTAAACACCCAAATCTACTGAGCTGGGCTTGGAAAATAAGCTGCAAGGAAGAGAGAAGGACAGCTTCTGCACAATGACAGGAATAGATCAGCAGGGAATAAGACTTGAAAATGAGGATTGGACTCCAGGAGTGCACTGAGGTCACTCACCGTATTGAGTGTAGGGCTGGGGGACTCAGGAAGAGTTTGATGGTTGAAGCTGAGTGCTCAGAAGGATGCAGCTTCAGAAGTGATTCTCTGTGGTAAGAAGAGGTGTCCTGGCTCTGACTATCAACTGATGAACTTATATAGATTAAGTTTGGTTAGTTTTCCTGTTTTGAAATGGATTGTCCATTGGTGTTAGGCTTGTTGTTTGCTGGCAGAGCCTTGATTCAGGCTGGTATTTCAATGTATTTTGAGCTTTTTTAGGACTCAGTAAGAGCAAGTCTGAACCAGGGTCTTGTTTGAGCAAGAATATTCTCGAGTTACAGCTTGAGCTGTTGTCAGAACAAATGGGACTTTTGGTTTCTGTTTCCTTGCAGGTTTCAAGGGTAACCTGACAGAAGCAGAGGCGCCGCTGGGGCTGAGCCTGGGGCTCACGGTGGGCAGCGTGGTGCTGTGTGTGTACCTGCTGCTGTGGCAGACCTACGTGCTGTGGGCTGATGTGCTCCTCAATGCAGTGCTGCTCTCGGCCTATGGGCTCGAGTCGGGGCTCAAGGTCACAGCCATTGCTGCCTTTGTCAGCTGAGCCCAGCCCCTTCCCCCATGTCTGCCACGCATTCCTTCTATGAAAGAGTGAGGCTTCATTTCCACTATTGAAATCCTTTGTATAAAAACCCTGTAAAGCTTCTCTCTGTTTAAATTTTGGGGACATAAATGTCCTGCCCAGGAGCTGTGTGATGCTGTCCACCATTGGCTTATTTATGGGCAAAGGCAAGGGATGAATTGCTAAACACCCAACACTGGTATTCACCAGGGGTAAGTACTAAATATCTATTCCCAACACAGGACAGGAGCCAGTGCTGCTGGCATGGTGGGAGTTTTCATGGCACAGCAGCAACACGCAGCCCAAGTGACACAGAAATGAATCAGGCCAGGGCTCACTCGTGCCTTGCCACGCACACGTCCGTGTTCGAGGGCACAGCTGCTCTGCTGCTCTCATTTGTGTTTCCAGACCTCAGTGGTAATTTCCCTGACTTTAGTAGGGCAGAACCCGATGTATTCCAGTGGGAGAGAGTGGAACTGGGTTTTGTGCATACCTGGAGAGCAAAGCCATAAGGTTTGGCAGCCAGTTCTTACACACTACGTGAGGGGATGTTTGCTTAAACAGGATGGCTTTAGAATGAACAAAACCATTCACCATTCATTCTCCCTTCTGTCCTGTTTAAAAGTCCAACAGAATGTTGGCAGTTTTATTTCTATTTGGTGTTAAATTTGCTTATTTCTACTATTTTGCAAAAATTACTACATTCAAGCCTGTCTTTTAACTTTTAACTGCTGCAAGTGCAGAGTTTTTTACTGTCTCAAAAATACGTGTTAATGGAAAGCTTCAGGAGTTCCTGGGTTTTTGAAGAAGCTATTTTCTATTCAGAATTTCCTATTTTTGTATTTATTTATTCATTCAAATAAACAATGGTTTAGATCTAAAGAGTGTTTGAAATGCAGAGCATCTTGTTCAGATCTTGGGCTCCAGCTAAGTCACCCAAAGGAAGACAGTGGCAAGCCTGGATGTTTGTGAAAGCCTCTTCTGATCCTGATCCTGCTGCTGTGTGTAGCCCTTCTCCTGCCCTGAGAAGGTTAGAGCTAATTTTCATTCACCAGGGGCTGAAAATTGTGGGGTGCAGGCCTGTGGCATCTCAGTCACGCTGCTCTTTGCTTTCTGGTGGGGGTAGAAGGGGACAAAAGACACAGAAGTTCTGTGGAAGGGCCCAGTTGCATCTCTCAGTCATTCAGTGGTTGGACTTGATCATCATAGAGGGCTTTTCCAACCTTAAGGATTCCAGTACCTAAAGGGGGCTTCCAAGAAGGCTGGAGTGGGACCTTTCGCAAGGGCATGTTGTGACAGGACCTGGGGGAGTGCTGTCAAGCCAAAAGAGAACTGGTTTGGGTGAGATATTAGCAAGAAATTTGTGACTCAGAGGGTGCTGAGACCCTGGCACAGGTTTGCCCAGAGATGCTGTGGCTGTACCTGGATCCCTGGAAGTGTCCAAGGCCAGGCTGAATGGGGCTTGCAACAGTGTGGTGTAGTGGAAGGTATCCCTGCCCTTGGCAGGGGGCTGGAAGGAGATGAGCTTTAAAGTCCTTTCCAACCCCAACCTTTCTACTCCCAGACCAGGTAACAGCAAGGTCTGTCCACATTACACCACCTGACAGTCACGGTCAGAGTGACCCACTGGCACAAATCCCCTTGGACAGGGGGTGCCCCCTAAGCCAGGGCACAGCTGGCCCTTTGCTGCTCCCACAGAAACGTCACAGCAGCAGAACTGGGGCTAAGGAACACCCAGGAAACTGAACGAGCAAATGTTTATGTGCTTAATCTGCCTGAATAAAGCCCCCACCTATTTGTCCTCTCTATTTTGCTCGGCTTGATGGAATGTGCCATCACATGCTTGTTCCAAGGAGTGACCAACATACCGAGCTGTCCCTGCCCCAGTAACGATCAAAGCACACAAGCAAAACTCTTCCTGGATGGGCACAAAAACCCCACAAACTTTTCCTGGTGTTTGCACCTGCCTTACACAATGCTCTGCCCACAGAACAACTGACAGGTTCTAAAGGGAATATTGCAAAGTAGAATTTTTACCTGAATGCAGGTGATACAGCAAACAGGGTCACACAGGTTAATGTTGAGCCTCAGTCCCTGTGCTTCACCTTCTTGGGGTGATCACTGCAAACAAAATAAACACAAAATATTCATTATAAAACACGATTAACCCTTTTCTTCCTTCCCATCACCCAGGTGAAAAACAAGGATCAGCAGAGAGTGCCAATACTTGGTGATAGTGAGGCATGGGGTAAATATGCACATAGGATAACAAACATGGATTTTTGGGCTTGTTTCAGAGCAGGGCCTGATGGCTGCAACTGCTCATAGCCCTGGCTGGCTGTCAGGGCCTGCCAGGGTCACTGGCACCAACCTGGACTTGCATTCTCATAAGGGCAGGACAGCTCTGGTTTCTGTTTTCCAATTCCAGATAAAATTGTCCATGAACTCTTTCATGGGCTACTGCTGCTGCTGACAGCCCTATGCTCTGTGATGAAAGATGAAGCCTGGAAGCTTCAGATAACTCCTTCATCCCAAGTATTTCCAGGCTTTCAATGGGAATTCTCATTGTGTTGGTGTCTCTGATTCCATGGTGGCATCTCTCGATGCCGAGCTGGTACAAAGACCCAAAGTGAATCAGCTTCAGAGAGTTTCCCTAACCAGGAGCTCCTTTCCAAACCGTTCCCACTGCTTGGAGAAGCAGGGCACACATAGCAAAGCCATTGATGACATTTGCCAGACATACGATTGCTGGAGCTTTTAATTACAAGGCCCAGCCCTTCTGAAACAGGACAAGCAAGTTGGATGCAAACAGCATTAAAAATTTAGAGGAACACATATTTTGAGGAGCTGGGTTTGGGTGGTGTTTACTTGACAAGTCTTTGTTCTCGAGCCATCACAGAGGTGTCTGCCGCCAACCTGATTTAAAAGGCTGATCCCAAGAGGCAAGTCAGCCTCCTGGGATTTCCAAACTGGAGATACTGGGAGATAGGGTATTATGGGTCCATGACTTTATGATGTCCCTCTGGAGTGGCCTGGTGCTCCAGTGAAGGAGGGAGGCCAAGGATATGCACTCAACTGGTTCCACACCTGGGAGCCACGCCAGGAACCACCACCATACCACAGGGTGATTCCCTCCTGCCAAACCATTCCATGATTCTCTGGTTGCCTCTGGCCCACCCCCATCGGCACCAGCTGTCAGGCGGGACAGCAGGGAAGGTGTAATAAGCTCTGCTGTGGTTTTCTTCCCTGCCCAGAGGAAAAGTTGCTGCCTCTGCAGAGCAGTTAAGAGATTTGCTGTGGGGCACAGCAGCACACAGTAGCTCTGTCTTCATTGTGAACGTGGAGCTGGATAGGAAGCAGTGCCTTAAAACATCATCCTGTCAACTCCCTGTTTGCATCCCAGGAAAGTCAGCCCAGCCCAGCAGTCCTCCTGAAATACCCCAGTGATGCATTTCAGGGAGTGGGGATCTCCTGCACAAAACTTCCCAGCTCTTGAGGCTCACCAGGCTTCAGCACAGCTGACATTCCCACTGCATTTTCCTTGTGTTGGACTGATATCCCTTCTCTTGCCCGGTACGGCAGGCATTCCCTAAATCCTGCTTTTCCTAGCGCTGGCCGTGTTTTCACAATATATCCCCTGGGATCCTGGCGAGGAGGATGATGGGGCACTGGGTGGGAGTGTCACACCGAGTATCGGTTCGTGCTCTCCCGTAGCAGGAGAGGTCGTGGTCCTGCCAAAGCCGAGCTGCCGAAATCCCGGCTGTCAGGCAGGGAGCTGCTCTCCCCCTGCCCGCCCGGCTCACCCGGCCGCATTCCTCCCGCAGGAACTCACCGGGGCGGCTCCTCCGTGCGGCGCCTGGACCCGGGCCAGGCCCTGCGCTGGGCATAAGCTCCTCAAAGAAACCCACAGCAGCGGGGAATGCAGCAAATGTCAAGCTAAGGAGTTTGGGCTTCTCCCAGACCGCTGTCCTGAGGGGGAAGCTTTTCCTTGTTTCTTTCCGTAGTGTCACAGTTACAGCGGTTTCCCCCCAGGATCAGCGATACGGGGTCTCGCTTCACATGTACACGGCAGGGGTTCAACATGCAGCGTGGGCATGGTGGGGAGGCCTGTAGACATGTGCACTTCCATAAAACATTCTCAAAAGTCTCAGTTTTGGGAGAGGAATGGCTAACCAGAAGGATCCCACACTGCCATGGTCACATCAGTATGACCCAGCTGATATTTTCCCCGCCAAGGACACCTTCCATTATCCCAGGTTGTTCCAAGCCCTGTCTAACCTGGTCTTGAACAATCCCAGGGATGGGGCAGCCACAGTTTCTCTGTTCCAGAGCCTCAGCATCCCCACAGGGAAGAATTTGTTCCCAATATCCCATCTAAACATAATGTACTTCATGGAAGAGCTGGGGTAAAACGAGGGGCTCTATAGCCACCTAACCCCAAGGAGCACAATGCCACAGAGGGGGTACCCGAAAGGGGATTCTGCTCTGCACCCCTGATTGCTTTGGGGAATGTGAGAGAAAGGATGCTTTGCCTGCTCCCTTCCATCTCCCAACACCTTTCCTTGCCGCAGACGTCGGGACAGAGAGCAGGCAGGGACGATGTCGGAGGAAAACAAGCCGCGAGCCAGCGCTGAGGAGAGCCCTGGGCTGCACAAAAGGTGCCTTGTTCCCCCCATGAGGCGGTCGGGCTGCACGTCCCCTCCCTCACCGGCGATGGAAAACTGAGCTCCGAGCACTCCCTCACCTCCCCTCGCCACCTTCAACCTTCCCATTGGGTACAAAATGTTCTCGGGAGCAAGAAACCCGAAGTTTAACACGTCCCTCCTGGGTTCTTGGTCGCCTTGCCTGGGGAGTGGGCGAAGGCTGCAGCAGCCCCCGGCGCTCCCGGGGCCACCGGCTCCTGGTTATACAGTAACCTGTTGCTCCGGGTCCCAGCTCCACCTCTCGCTGCCTCCACATCCCTCCCCTCCTCTCTCCTCTGCCAAGGAACCTCTGTCACCTGCTCTCAGACACCCGGGGCGAGCGGCACCGGGAGGAAAGGGCAGCGGGGACCCACGGCACCGAGACCCCCAGGCCGGGGTGCCGGGTGGGCTCTGCCTCCCACTCCCCTTCAGCGCTCGGGGCATCGGGCTCACAGCCTGTGCAGGGAGGACAGGGAGCTTGACTGCTGGAGAATGGCAGCAGGATTTAACTAGCAAGGCACGGAAAACTGAGAGAGAACTCACGGGAGCTGAGCGAACTCCGGGAGACGAGAGCGGCTTCTCAGCACCGGTGAGTCCCCTCTTTGTAAATCCTAAAACTTCATCCCCCTCCCCAACTTTTATCCACTTCAAAAGTCTGTCTGATTCTGCTGTGGAGGGAGCATGGCTGGAGAGCGGCTGTGGCTGAGAGAACTATCAGTGTAGTTTTCAGTTGTTTTAGTAAAAAAATATGAAAAAAACATACTTTTCCCAGCATTGTGTTTTCTGAGTTTGTTTCCCGTCCTGGTGATTCCCCACCGGGTGAGATCCAGTAGGTGGCAGTTTCTTGGCAGCAAAATGTCCATTTGGCACAGAACGAGGCATTTTTTCTGCTCCTAATGAAGTCTGGAGACGTAGTTTTGAGCAGCTGTTTGTTTGCAAACCTCAGGGTTTCCTCTTTTGGGGATATGTGTAGAATTTCTGGCCTTTCTCCGCCAGGCCCCTCAAAGAGCTGCTGCTCTTGTTGGGCGAGCTCTCCTTACCCCTCACCCTGGCAGGATTTGCCACCCGATTTCAGCACGGAGGGAAGCTCGGAGCTACCCTGTTCCCTCTCGTGACAGCTCTGCCTCCTGATGAGATTTCATCTATGTTAACCATTCACAGCATTCCCGTCCCTTTTCTCTTATTTTCCTGGAAAATGCCAG